GGATCTGCAGGCCTCGGCGGATCCTCCCTGGGCCGCGCGGCTCAGCAGGTTTGCTGCAGGTGGAGGCCGAGAGTCAGAGGCTGCCCGCAGGCAGGGGAGGGCCCTGTGGCTGCCTGGGCGGAGCTGATGTCAACATGAGCTGCTTACAAAAGAGTTTCAGGTGAGGAAATCACTGGACGCACAATGGCAACAGCAGCGTAGGGCTCGGCTTTCTTTTCCTTCTTGCAAATGAGATTGTGATTACTGGTTAGGAGGGATTTTGTAGATAACACACAACCACTCTGTCCCACTTTAACTTCACACTGTCCCTGCCCCTGAATCACACTCAGCTGTTCAGGGAAATCCATTCGCTACTCCAACAATTATCCCACCTCTGAAGCTACCTGTGTGCAACACTGAGGAAATCAGGTTTTCAAAACCAACGCTACCTCCAAAACATGGGAAAAGTTACCTGAGAAGCCCCTTTTGATATTTATAAAACAGGGACGGTATACATCCACACCATGAGGTGGAGGAACAGTTCATCCAAGGTGTTTTTAGCAAAAAGCCAGGAAACAATTAGAAAAAGTGAGCGAGCCACCAAACCCCCGAACTGACTCTCAGAAGAGCCAGGCACCCGAGGAGTGAGGAGCAGCTGCTGCCCCCATTTCCCTGCGGAAATTACACTCTGGTGCTCTGATCCCAAGCATGCACTGCCACAGGACCCACCGAAGAGCTGTGAAAGTTAGAGAAATCAAGATTGTATCACGTTCCCAAATGGACGGGCATAAAAGCTGGTAATTAAAATGTGGTCACTTATGACAAACCAAGGGAGGCAGATCTGGAAGGGCACACCCCAACCGATACCCGGGTGCGCAGGGCTCCTGGGCAGGGAGGCTCACACCAGCAGCATCCCACACGCTCACCTGGCGCAGCCTGACTCACAGCCTGCCCGGCCGGATGCCTGGAGCCTGCATGGGTCAGGGAGGGATGGGGCCCAGGTTCTCCAAGAACCCGTTGGACAAGCCTGACACCCAGGCCGGTGGGCACGGCTCCAAGGGCACCCTTGGGTCTGCGGCCGGGACGGTGCAGGTAAAGGGGCGAGAGGGGCACAATGCCAGCTCCAGGCTAAGGCGTCAGAAGCCTGTGAGCTGCGAGCCCTGAGGCCCCAGCAGCTGCTGGCTCGGTGTGCGCAGTGCGCACAAGGGAACCCGGGGGCCATGGTGGAGGCCCATCCAGGACGTCCAAAAACCAAAGCCCCACGAGATCAAAGCCAAGTGGGACCCAGGCCAGCACCACATGCCGGGGAGGACCTGGCTGTGTAGTCCAGGCTACTCCAGAAACTCACGTCCTTCTTCAAGCCTGCAGCCCACAGCGCGTCCTACAGTCCTTCAGGCCTAACCCAGAAACTCAGGAGTCCCAGGGCCCCCCTTTTGCACGCCCCGCCCAACGTGCCCCAGACAGAAGTCACACTCACCCCGACCACACCTCCCACCGTGGGCCCCACACAGCCCCGGGGGCACCCCCACAGCACGATGGGGCACTGGGCAGACCACGGCCATGCCAGTGCCGGTCCACACACGGCAGCTGCTCCAGAAGAGGAGCCCCGGTCAGGACCCTCACGGGGCCTACAGGAGCCTGTGCAGGGGCAGCTCAAGGGGCTCCAAAGTGAGGAAGATGACCCTGGAGCAAGAGGCTCCCCTGTGGAAACTGTGCAAAGGAACAGGAACCCAGCCCGGAATGTTCATGCCTGAGAGAGAGCGAACAGATCGCCGAGCGGCCCCAGCCTCCGCAAAGACCCCAGCCTCCGTGGAGACCCCAGCCTCCGTGAAGGTCCCAGCCTCCGTAGAGACTCCAGCCTCCGTGAAGGTCCCAGCCTCCGTGGAGACCCCAGCCTCCGTGAAGGTCCCAGCCTCCGTGAAGACCCCAGCCTCCGTGAAGGTCCCAGCCTCCGTGAAGGTCCCAGCCTCCGTGAATCAGGCCTAAGAATAAGTGAGCAAGTCACCGAGCGGCGCCAACCTCCACAAAGCACAGGGCCCACCTGCACCAGGACTACCGACCGGCTGGCCCCCAGCCTTCCACACCCACACCAAGGCCAGGCTCCACGCACGTCGGCAGGTTTTTACAGATACTTTACTCTGGAACGATGAGGTCTAACGTTGCCAAAGGCAGAAGTTATTAATCTGCCTGTCCAGGACCTTCAGTAAGAACTTTCTTGCTCATGACTTTTCTCTCCAGTCCCAGCTGAGCTGCCAACCCTGTCCAGTAGCGGGGACTTGACTTGTTCGGATGGTTCCGCCTGCAACTCTCCGAAGTCAGCACCTGATCTGGAGACTCTCATTACAGTCACCCTCCAGTGGGATCAGCTTTCCCCCAAAACAGAGAACCAATGAGTTATGGCTCACATGCGGCCCCGGGCTCCGTGCCCACCTAGACGCTCTCCCAGGTGAGTGGGGGTTTTGCCTCCCCCCCATCTCCTGTGCCAGCCCTCAGCCCTGGCCCTGCCCCTCCTGTGACACTGGACCAGAGAGTTCCTCCCAGGAGGAAGGGTAGATCCAGGTTCCAGTGACGTTGACACTCTTAGACAAAATATGAGGCTGGAAAGGAAATCCGTGAGGATTTTCACTGTGAAATGGGAGCCACCATCTGAGGAGCCGGATTCAGCCGAAAACGTCACCCGTCTGAATCACGGGTCTTTCCAGGGCCTCACAGAAGGGGGTAAGGAGCTTCTCAGCCACGAGGCAGCGCCGAGCCCCCGGCCAGGGCCTGGGAGTTGCTGCCCAGACGGGCCTGGCTCAGAAGCTGTCGGCCACAAGGTGCCGGACAAGTGTCTTCAGTGCTGTCCTGACTTCCTCAGTGAAACCGGAATGCGGTGGCACCTGCCCACCTCACAGGGCTGCTAAAGCTCCTCAGTGAAACCGGAATGCGGTGGCACCTGCCCACCTCTCAGGGCTGCTAAAGAAACCGAGTGAGTTATCAGTGTAAGGAAGTTTTCTCATTCTCTGACTATTCATATAAACAATGAGAGAAATTTTTTTGCTTTCACTGCCTAGTTGCAGGATCAACTTCCTAAAAGTGCAGGAGCAGGGCAAGGAAGTAACAGGAAGAGCCTTTCCTGAGGCTGATCACACTCAAGAGCTCCCGCACACAGACAGCAGGGGAGCAGGCTGGCACGGGCACGTGGCAGGGCCTCAGGAGCTCAGCAGGGGCCCAAAGCCGGGCCTCTCCGTCTTTCCATCTTCTCTGCTCCACTCTGCAAGGTACTGCTGCTCCCTGAAGACCACCAGCAGCCAAGCCCCTGCCCAGCAGCGCCACCAGAGTGGCCACTGGGGACAGCAGCGGACAGCGGCCACACCTGCTCCCAGCCACCCCAGACCTCCCTGACCTCAGGTAAGCCACACTCTCCACAACACATTGGCCAGCACCAGCACCCTCCAGCCGCGCTGCTCTCCTCTGAAGAGGAGCAGGACAGGAGGGATGTGCATGTTCACAGCTGCCTCGGGAAACACAGGACCTCCCTGGATAGGAGGAGGACCCTCAGCCCCTCTCAGGCTGATGCAAGAATCTAGACTACAAGACGCCGGCCACGTGCTGCAGGCCCAGGAAAGTAACAGGGTTGAGCTCCCTCTCTGGCGCTCTGAGTATTTGGTAAGACGGAACAGCAGTGGGCAAGAACAAGAGACAGTGCCTGTCACCAAGACCCTTGGGAGCCCATGCCGGTGTGTGGCTCACGAACTGCTTGTCGGACAGAGCCAGTGGCACCTCCACCCGGGGGGTTCACTGCGGGTGCTCACAGGGCGTGGGGAGCAGAGGGGACCCGGCACTTCAGCCTGAGCCTGCCACCAGGTGCATCTACCACCAGCGCCCCACCCGCCCAGACCAAAGGAGCAGCCCTTCCAGGTGGAAGCCGCAGGCGCTGCATCTCGTGACCCCCACAGGGGCCGGCCAGCTCCTGGGCAGCTTCAGGAGCTTCATTCTGAAGTCAGCTTCCCCAGTTCATTTCCTAGTGAAAGTTGTCGGGTGAAGTGCGGGTGTGAAACCTCGTGATGATTCAGCCGTGGGCTCACACGCCCATGATGCACAGTGACGCCGAGTCGCCTTCCTCGGTGTCCCGCCTCCAGCTCCTTCATGCACAACAAGAAAGGAAGCGCCTGCCTTCTTCAGCACAAAAGAACTCATTTCAGTCCAAAGGCAGGTACAAAACCAGTGTACGTGGCTGGATTGAATCCAATCATTTCCTACGCTGGGGGCACATCTGTTCTGCATGTTTCCTCAGCAAAAAATATCGGCTCCTGAAAGTCGCTGGCACCAGACATCACCATGGGGCTCAGCTGGGTGCGTGCACTGGACACCGAGGCAGGGCCCCGCCCACCACAGGCCGCACAGCTTCTGAGGTTCTGGTGACCACATGAAACCTGCTGGCTTCAGTTCTTTCATCAGGAAGCCAGAGGGAAAAATGGCTTCCTCCTGCCCAGAGGTTCTGAAGTGTCCACTTACATCTCAGAGGAGATGAAACCAGGCAAGCGAAGGCTGTTGCTACTGAATATTCTCTCAAGTGCTGGTCCACAAAAACACAAAATCCAGCTCCTCAACAAAAACAAACACCGTTTAAAGACTTCCATGTCCAACATGCCTGCCGTATTCCAGAGGAACTTGAAAGGAGATAGAGACAGGAATTCGCCTCTCGGTAAGACCCATGACTGCAGGGGGCGGCACAGGCGACTCCCGTGCCCCACTTGCTTCCTCCCATGCCACCCAGGATGCCTCCACCTGCCCCCAAGAATCTGCTGCCTGCAGGGTGGCCAAGACCTCCAGAATGTTCCTCCCACACATTTCCACTCCACTTGCTCCTCCACAGAAAAGGAACTTGACCTCTGAGCAGTGGCTTTGTCACAGATCCTCTGGTCAAGGAATTTCACCTGTTCATGAGCATCTGCCGTGCACACCTCTCACGGGGAAGACGACACACGGTGCCATCAGGGCACATGGCGCGTCCGAGGCGCCTCGACGAATGGGCCTACCTAGAGATGGCAGTCACAAAGGGCTTCAGCTCCTGAGGCTCGTAGGCACGCGCGAAGGCCCAGCACACATAGCAGGCAGCGTCCCTGACGTTGGTGCCCACGCTGCAGGAGCCCCGCTTCTCGTCGTAAGTCAGCGCCTTCAGGATCACGGCGACAACTGGGCAAGGAAAAGAGAAAAGATGGTGAGGAGCAGACCACACGGGCAACGCGTGAGGCTTCAGAGAAGCAGGACTCAGGGCCGGAGCACAGCCATGGCGCCAGATGAGTGAGGCACACAAGCCACGTGGGGCCCACCCAGAGGCTTGGGGCTCCTGTGAGAGCCACGGCCTGGTCAGAAAACAGGCCTCCGAAAAAAAGACACAGGCCGACCAACTCAGATCCAGGGAAAGGATTTTTTACAAGTGACGTGAAGAAGCAAAAGCTCCTTCAGAACAGCACACAATGCCACCCGGGGGTCTGCCGTGTCTGAGGAGACTCAAGGAAACGCGGCTCCCACCAGGCAGGGAGGGAGAGGAGCCGTTGGTTCAGGGGAGGGAGAGGAGTCGCTGGTTCAGGGGAGGGAGAGGAGTCGCTGGTTCAGGGGAGGGAGAGGAGTCGCTGGTTCAGGGGAGGGAGAGGAGTCGCTGGTTCAGGGGAGGGAGAGGAGTCGCTGGTTCAGGGGAGGGAGAGGTGCCACTGGTTTAGGGGAGAGAGAGGTGCCACTGGTTTAGGGGAGGGAGAGGTGCAGATGTCGTGCTGTCACAGTCACGCAAAGGTAGAGCGTCCCAGGGGATGCCTGGCTCTGCCCAGAGCAGGTCTGGGGGGAACCAGGATGAAAATGCAAAGCTGGCCGTGGCACCTTCAGTGTTGACTTCAGGAACCATACGTGCAGGGTTCCTATGCAAAACGGCTATGTAGGGAAATCCGAGGTAGGTGTGGATTATCCTTCCAGCTCCATTTAAAAGTGGGTTAGGCCGGGCACGGTGGCTCAAGCCTGTAATCCCAGCACTTTGGGAGGCCGAGACGGGCGGATCACGAGGTCAGGAGATCGCGACCATCCTCGCTGACACGGTGAAACCCCGTCTCTACTAAAAAATACAAAAAACTAGCCGGGCGAGGTGGCGGGCGCCTGTAGTCCCAGCTACTCGGGAGGCTGAGGCAGGAGAATGGCGTGAACCCGGGAGGCGGAGCTTGCAGTGAGCTGAGATCCGGCCACTGCACTCCAGCCCGGGCGACAGAGCAACACTCCGTCTCAAAAAAAAAAAAAAAAAAAAGACAGTGGGTTAATGAGTAATGTGATATCACACCCGTGTGTGATTTCATTTATTTCTTATTTTTTTTGAGACAGGGTCTGGCTCTGTCTCCCAGGCTGGAGCACAGTGCTACAATCTTGGCTCACTGCAGCTTCCACCTCCCAGGCTCAAGCAATCCTCCCTCCTCAGCCACCCGAGCAGCTGAGACTACAGGCATGCCACCATCACACTCAGATACTTTTTAAATTTTCTGTAGAGATGGGATCTCGCCTTGTTGCCCAGGCTACACATGATTTTTTACGTAGACACGAGAGGATTTTAGGACATGTGGTGTAAGTATATTGGGATGTTCCAAGGAGCTCAAGTTTTACTGTATTTGTTTGATTTATTAGGTTCATATATTTCAAGTGCTTTGGAATAAATACTTGAGATCAACTGCTGAACAAAGAAAACGGAACACAGCTATGAAGCCAGCGATGGAGACCCACGGAGCCAGGAGGAGCACCCAAGTCCCCAACCCAGCTCCGCCTCCCGGACAAGCACTCCTCCCCAGGACGCCCTCGTGCTGAAGCACCCACACACCCAGGGCCTCACTCAGGGCTCTGCACACAACCCCCTCCATGCACACGCTGTCTGTACACTTCACACCCACCGACCGAGTTCACTGACACCACACACAGTCTGAGAAAAGGCACTCCAGGCATGGACACACGAGAGGCCGGTTATTTGCACATGCAGCTGTCATCGGATACATTATCTCCCAGAAGAACGCGCCTAGAAATGATCTTAGGCAAAACACCATAAGCAACAACTGTAGGACTATGAATATTATATGCAAATTTCCCCTCTGACTTTTTGCATCTAAGGATCTTTATGGTCCATAAATAGCAATAAAAATGGATGTTTCTGCACAGTTTATTTTATATACATATGGTGATTACTTTTAATAAGATTATCACATTTATACACTTACTAAAACTACATAAAAATGAACTTTCTTCAAAACAGAAAGTTCAAAGATACCGCGGTATCAAGGATGTGAAATTCGCCAGAGTAAGCAGCTGGGGAAACTGCCTCCTCTCAGCCCAGCCACAACGCAGGGCACCGCACACAGAGGCCCAGGGGAGCGGCAGGACATTCCGGGGTCCCCGCCAGACACCAAGGTCTCCCCAGCCTACCTGGGGCCCAGCCCTCTCCCGCCTCATTTCCTCAGGACACTCCACCTGGATGTGCTGCAGGCTTCTTCAAGCCCAGTGCCCAGAGCAGAGGCGTCCTCTGGTGTAGCGCCCATGCCCACGGCCAGCCCTCCCCTCGGATGCAGCTCAGGGCTGGCTCCTCCTCACTCCTCCACATCCAGACACAGCGCCATTCCCAGAGCACACCCCAACTGCGGCAGTCATGCCTCCACAGGACCCAACAGCTCCCTCCCACCGTGGTCAGACCACCACCAGCTCTCACCCCAGGACCCCACAACTCACTCTGGAAGGCCCCGCATGGCCACACAGAGCAGCTCCGCGTTCCCTCTCTCAGCCATGACTCCCTCCTGCAAAGCACCTCCTGGAGCCTTCTCCGCCTGGGGGCCCTGTGCTCTCCAAGGCCCTCCTCACACAGGTCAGAGCCGGCAGCACCATCACCGGCAGGAGGCACTGAGAGTAACGGCCAGTGCGGCCATCAATCCGCAACCCAGAACCTGCTGGATGATTTGCAAGAGTATCTCTCACTTCTTGTAAATGTCGAACGTTTTCCTTCTACAAAGGGAAAGAGTGAGGATTACGGAATGCGTGTGAGACGTGAAACCAAACACAATAGGGCGACTGTGCGAGAGAAAACCACTGAATCTAACAAGCGGGTTCAAGATGATTATCTCGATCTGAACTAAACCAAATCTGTAACACCCAAAAGGCCATCAGTTGTTTGCCCTGCAACGTCCACTCTGAGCCTTCTCTACGGCTCATGTTCACTTTCTGTGCTAACAGGGCAGCCTGTTCGTGACCAACACACATCAAAACTAATAGGCTGTGGCACCTCCAGGAGGAAAAGCGTGACACAAATGTGGCATCCCTGCCAGTCCAGGTCCCCAAGGGCAGCCACTGCAATGCCACTCCAGGGCACAAACGTGGTGTCCCCGCCAGGCCAGGTCCCCAGGGACAGCCACTGCAATGCCACTCCAGGCGGCCCCAGGCACAACCACCCAGCAACTCCACCGCCTCGGGCATCTGGGTGCAAACCGCTGAGTCCCAATTTATCCATCCACCGGACAGAACCGATTCCCAACAGACAACCACGAGTGGCAGTGGCCAGTGTGGACACTGGTCTCAGGCCCCCCCACGCCCAACGTGTGCACCTGGACACTGGTTGGCAGCCCTGTGAGAAGCCCCCAAGGGAGGACACAGACCCCCCCCCACCCCAGGCCACTGAGGCGCTGCGGGAGCTGATCCCGCCACACCCCCAGGACCTGACCTGGGTCGGGGAGCCCAGGTTTCTCTCCCCAAGTCCGTGAGAGCTGGTTCTCTTCAGCACCAGTGTAGTCAGCTGCTGGGATGAATCAGCTACCCAGAGACAGCTGTGCAGACACGACGTCCACTAACAGGCATCTGGGCCAACACACACGCAGGCCTTCCTTCAGTCTGACCAGCACTTCCTGCTGGAAACTGATGGCGGAGGAGGTCTAGCCAGAGGCCGACCGGGCCGCTCCTCTGTTTTAAGGAGAAGATGCCGGTTCCTGAGAGGGCTGTGGGTGGCCACGCACACTGGGCAGCTCTCCCCGGCTGTGGACAGAGTCACAGAGGTGTGGGCTTCCCGCTGTCCTCCCTGTGCTCCCGCAGGGCTGAGTCCCAGCAGCAGGGAGCAAAGCCTACCCCCACCTCAGCTTCTGGGGCCTCTGCCCAAGTGGCAGTGCTGCTACAGGCGTCCAGAAGGGCCCAGCCGGCCTCCTTCCAGGCCAGGCCACAGCGCAAAGTCCTGGGGCCTTTCTCCTTGCCCTCCTGCCGCTCAGAAACCTCCAATCCTGTTCCATGACACCCGCAACAGACGTCAGGGCCCCACATGCCAGCACACGTGAAGCGGCAGCTGCCAAGGCCTGGCTGCTGGCGACATCCTAGGGAGCCCTAGAAGCTGAGGATGTTTCTCCTCGCAGGTCCCTGGAAAGGATCTAATTTGCACAAAGTAAAACAGCTTGAGAGGGTATGAGATGATCAGTTTCCTTAACAAGAACAGAAAAATCAAGCCTCTTGGCTCTGAGGCATCCCAGGGTGGCAGGTGCTATATCCTGGGGTGAAAAATGGAGTGAGGCCTGCTTCTCCTGCTCAGGGTAAAGAGGAAGCCTTGGGCTGCCAGCTCTGACATCTCGGGACCCCGAACACAAGGGGCAGGCCAGCCTCGGTAGCCAGGCACCTGGGCGACCACAAAGCTGGGGGAGGGGCACGTGGAACAGAAACTCCTTTGCCATAAACTTTTATATAAAGTCATTATCAGAAAAAAATTTCAAAAACAACTCTTTCCAGATTCAACAGGTTTAAAATAAGGAAACTATCCAATAGCTCTGAACAAAAACCTTTCTCATGGTTCCAATTACACACAGCAAATGCATGTCGAGTATAGAACATACCCCAGGAGGCTTCCTTTTGGCAACCCAAGCCCAGCCATGTAATTTAAAAACCCTTCTCTCTAGACAGCTTGTCATTTGTTGAACACCAATCGCCTCAGGAAAAAGCAGCCTCCAGGTGACAGAAACAACTTAACCCTCGGAGCACCACAGCCCCCTGCAGTATGCGACCCCAAGGGGCAGAAGGGATCCAGGCATTCTCTGCAAAGGCAGAAATAATCCCTCTACAAAAAATCGTCATATAGTTACACCTTCTGATAACTAATGAGGTTTTACTAATTTTAAAAACAAACATCACTTCTAGGCATAAACTGCATCGTG